ATTTGATATTTATCAGTTATTATTTTGGTTATTATAATGATCACGATAATCATTATTCTATTATATTATCATTATCAATATTGTTTATATATATTATTATTATTATTATTATTATTATTCATTATTATTATTATTATTATTATTATTATTATTATTATCGTTATCATTATCATTATCATTATCATTATCATTATCATTATCATTATCACCATCATCATTATTATTATTATTATTATTATTATTATTATTATCATTATTGTTATCATTATTATTATCATTATTATTATCACTATCATTATTGTTATCATTATTATTATATTACTATCATTATATTTATTATTATTATTATTATTATTATTATTATTATATTATTATTTATATTATTATTATTATTATTATTATTATTTATTATCATTATCATTATCATTATTATCATCATCATGTTGTTGTTGTTTTTGTTGTTGTTGTTATTGTTGTTATTTATTCATTATTATATACTATTATCAATATTGTTATTGTAATTATTTTCTTTTTTATTATCAATCTTTTATCATTATTATTATTATTATTATTGTCATTATAACTGTTATTACTATTATTGTTATTTTCTATTATTTATCATTCTCGTTATTATTATTATTATTATTATTATTATATTATTATTATTTTACTATTATTATTATTGTTATATTTATTGTTATATTATTATGTATTATTATTATTATTATTATTATTATTATATCATCATCATAATTATTATTACCATTATCACTATTTTATTATCATCATTATTATCATCATTGTTAGCATTAGTAGAAGTAGTTAGTAGTAGTATATGTTGATGGTATTATCATTATTAACATAATCATGTTGTTATTAATATTGTTAATGTTATTTCTATAACAATACTGATTATTACTATCATTAGCATTACCATTATCATCACCATCACTTTCATCATCCTCATTATCATCATCATCCTCATCTTCATCATTATCATTATACTTATATTCATGTATATTATTATTATTATTATTATCAGGATTATTATCATCAATATTGTAATCGTTATCATATTCATTATCGTAATCTTTATTATTGGTAATATCTTTATTATTATTATAATTATAATCATTATCATTATCTTTATCATCATTACTATTATCATAATATATTATTATCAATAACAAATATATTATTATCATTATTTCTGTCATTTTTGTTATTATCATTATCATCATTACTTTTATTATTAGCATTATCATTGTTCTTTATTAACATTATCATAATCATTACCAATGTTATTACCATTTTTACCATGTATTATCATTAGTATATTCATCATCACAACTGTTGTAAGTTATGATAATAATATTAATTATTAATTTTAGTGATGCCATCACTAGTATTACTTTTATTATTACTACTAGTCGTTATTATTTTCACTATTCTCATTATCATAATCGTTATTTTTATGATCATTATTTTATTTCATTTTTATCATCTTTATTTTCTTTAATATCTTTATCTCTATTATTGTTATCATTAATGATATGATTGAGATTATCCTAATTAGGCACATTTCTTTTTATCATCTTTATTACTATGGTTATCATTATTCTAAATATTGCTTTTTATGGTAATATCTTCAGTATCATGTTTATATTCTAATGATTATTATTAGCAGTATCACCACTAATATTACAATTATTATCATGACTATTTTCCTCTTAAATATTATTGTATTATTATCATTATATTTGAATTTATTATTCTTATTTTCTTTACTATCTTCATCCCTACTATTGTTATCACCATTACTGATAGGATTGAAATTATCCTTAATTAGGCACATTTCTTCTTATCTTTATTACTATGCTTATCATTATTCTAAATATTTCTTTTGGTGGTAATATCTTCAGTATCATATTTATATTCTAATGATTATTAATAGCACGTCATCACTATTATTACTATTACTATCATGAGTATTTTCCTTAAATAATTTGTATTATTTCTTAAATGAATACTATCAATTTCTTCATTATTTATCATCATTATGCAATATATATTTATTAAAGGTTTCGTTTTAAAACACTAAATTGTATGCAGTTTTATTAAGTAATTATATAAAATAGGTATCTTTTATAGAAATACAATATTTCTCTTACCTAAAAAAATGTGAAAATAGCACCATTCCTTGATTTTTTTTTATTTGTTTTTTACTTATTAAAGTTCTTAATCACTAGCGTTTTTATCGTCTTCTCTTCGCCATAGTTTTACTTAAACGTTTACCCGTTTTTTTAACAATAAAGCAGTTTGACTTTTGTTGCTAGTGGGTTAATTTTGCCTTTTATTAATTTCACTTCACACGTTTTCGGTTTCACTCGGTGTTATTTTTTCTTCTGTTTCTTCCTCTCTGTTATTTCTTTTGTTTTTTCTTCCCTGTGTTATTTCTTCTTCCTTGTTATTCTTTCTTTTATTTCTTCCTCCCTGTGTTATTTCTTCTTCCTTGTTATTCTTTTTTTTGTTTCTTCCTCCCTGTGTTATTTCTTCTTCCTTGTTATTCTTTCTTTTGTTTCTTCCTCCCTTTGTTATTTCTTCTTCCGTGTTATTTCTTTTTTGTTTCTTCTTCCCGGCCGTATTTTGGCTCTTTTGCCTCTTCTTGTCCCTTTTGTCTCTGTCTTCCTCCTGCCGCGTGGACGCCAGCATCAGCTTCGTGAAAGCCTGGCATTTCTTGAACGCGGATTTCCAAAGCTTTATGTTTCTGAGCGGCGACAGGTCCTCGAGGTACCTCTCCATGTCCTTCAGCGTGGCGAGGAAGGTCGGCCGACTCGATCCGTCCTTCTCCGCGTTCTGTCTGCGTAGCCTGTAGCAGAGGAAATCGACGGGGGAGATGTTCCACCGGGTGTAATGGTGGGGTCTCTTGGCGTTCGCCTCGCACGTCTCGACTGAGCCGAGGGAGGGTATCAGGTCCTGGCAGCTGGCTATGACTTTGTCGCACTTCTCGCACTTCAACTGGCCGAAGAACATGTGGTAGTAGGCTTCCCCGCCCTCCACGGTCTGACAGCATGTGAGACACTCCACCTTCGTCTCAAGTTTGGGTTTGTCAGAGGCGTTTAGGAACAGGTCAGTCTTCATGAACATTGCTTCTTTGTTGGCCAGTCGTTGGTTACTAGTTCCAGGCTTGTGTTGGTGCCGTCTGCGTGGAACAGGTGGATCACTTGTTACATCACTAACTTTGAAATCTTGCGGACAATAATGTTTCACTCTGGATCCATCTTTTGCGTTTGGATCAAAACGGAAACGACTTCCTGAAAAGGAATCCTGCGAGATCCATTTGGGGGGGTTAGGCTTTCTCTTTTGTTTGGCTGATGCGTCTGAAGCTTTCTGAACTTTTGATGAATAATTTCTTTGCACAATTTGCTCGCGATGACTTGTTCCAGGATAAGTTCCATTTGGTGCACTTGAAGCAGGATGACTACTCTTTATTACTTTTGTTTTATCTTCGTCTGGCGTGTTTATAACCGGTTCAACATCTATCGTTAAATCTACTTCCGAAATAATTTTATGGCAACCATTTTCCATTTTGGTTCTGTCTGGTGAACTCCGAGCAAAATGTTCAATTGCTGAGCTATCATCTTGCACGGTTTTCCTGCGGTAGCTGCCTTCTCTCGAGTGTCTATCTGGTGCAACTGATCCATCCTGCCTACTTGCTGTTGAACAATCTCTTTGCAAAAATTGCTCTTCGTGATTCATCTCCGTTTTCGGTACGACGGTGGTACCAACATCTGAATGATTACCTTGTGATTCCATTTCTTCCATTCTTCTACGGTACATATTAACCCAATCTTTTTGTGGAGGTTGCTCTGGACCATGATCCTTACGCCTCACACGTCGAATGCGCTTTAACTCGGGTAGTTTAGGAGTGTTTACGGGGAGTGTATGAACCGCCTGAGATGGACTGGGGTTATTTGCGGGTCCACTGTTAAGAACTGCAGTTGTTTCCTCACCCTGAAGAGATTGTTCAGATGTCTGTGTTAGTTGTTTGTTAGCATCTACCGGTGGGATAGATACCTCTGTTGGCTGTGCAGGACTATTCTCTGGTGTTACTTGAACAATCTGAGAACAAGCATCCTCAAGTGATGAAGGCACATCTGAAGGTGTCATATCAGCTGCAACTTCTGTAGAATGGATATAAGTGCCCCCTGATATAGACGTATTTTCAGGTGTCACACTACCTACAAGCGGCATAGACATGGGTAGAGTTGAAAGCGTATATTCAGGTGTCACACAAGTAGTTGTTACTGGTGTCAAATCAGGTGTATCTTGTGGAACATTCATCTGTAGCCCAACTACAGGTGGTGTAGAAACATTCATGACATTGTTCTCCACTGGTGTAGATGGTGTTACACCATTCACGAGCTTGTTTACCTCTGATATAGGTGGTGTTAAAGCACCTACAGAATATGCACGATCACCTGCAGGTGGTTTAGGAAGAATCTCGCTTGGTTTAGATGTCTTGCGATGCCTATTCAAGCGTTTTAGACTTTTTGATGCTTTGAAGTCAATCTTGGGCGGTGCTGCACGAACGATTATTTTCGGTTTTGACTTGCTTGCAGGTCGAATATTACCAGATTTTGGAGTAGCACCTGTAGACTGACGAGAGACACCTTGAGTCGAACCCAATTTCGAGTTATTTGATGAGAATTCAGGTGATAGAGAGGTTCTTTCACTCGGTTCTGTCTGCTTGTTCTCTGATGAATTGTTCTCGAAGTGTGTGTCCTCGTCATCTAGTGTATGAAAGGGAGAGGAAGAACAGGATAACGAATCCTCTGTGTCACAAAGTTCATCCGTTTCTTTTCCTTGGTTTCCGGGTGTTGCAGGATCGCTATCAGGAGGCGTTAAGCGATCCTCCGGCGTATTTGAAGGCTGGAAATTGCCGGATTGTGGAGGAGCTTCTGTAGGAGAGAAGACACACTGAGAGATACCCAATGCCACGTTATCTGAGGAGTCGTTTGGGGATTCACTTCCTCGATCCTGTTCTCTCTGCGTGTTGTCCTTGAAGGTGTTCTTGATATGCAAAAACCGGTCGGCCTGTTTATAAACGGGTGAAGAGGAATGGAGTAAGGTATTATTTTCTACCTCATCATACTTATCAATTTCGTCTTCTTGGGCTTCTGGTGTTGCTGGGATACTTTCAGGTGGTGTTAAACAACCAATTAGTGTGGGGGAGTTCGCATGTAAAATGTTAGATGTACGGGTTTCTTCACAGATTTCTCGTTTTCTGTTATCTGTCGGGCTGTCCTCATCCTGTTTATGAAAGGGAGAGGGATAGATTAAATTTTTATTTCCTAAATTACCACAGTCCTCTGTTTCTATTTCGTGGTTTTGTAGGGTTGTAGGGACACGATCAAATGACGTATCACAATCAACTCGCGTCAGAATACTCTCACATAGCTTCAGTATATCTTCAATTTGAGAATTGCCAGCTAGTTCAGTAACAACTGCAAGGGTTTCTCGATCCTCTTCTCTCAGCGTGTTATTTGCGAAGTTTTCGACGTCGGAATTCCGGTCAACCTGTTTATCAACGGGAGACGAAGAACACAATGGTACATTATTTTCCGGTTCGTCACCAAAAGAATTCCTGTCAGTCTGTTTATCAACGGGATGTGCATTATTTTCCGGTTCGTCACAATAATCCATTTCCTTTTCATGGTCTGTGCTGGTGGAGTATCTTCGCGGAGATAGATATCGTCCTCATCTGAACTCTCATCCTCCTCAAGAAGAAATAAACCTAAACGAAGCATCAGTCTTCGTCTTGACTCTGCGTCTACTGTGTGGAGTAGATACCGGAGTATGAGTATAATTAGCTCCGTTGTCTTCCTTTACTGCTGAGGTCTTCAGGTAGTAAGAGAAGTGTCTGTTGAGAGAAGTGTGTGGCCTTCAACCATCGGGGTCTCTTCGAGGTTCTCACTTACAGACGAAGGGGTGGAAGCGACGTCGTAGTTCGTCTGGGGGCAATCTTGCGTGCGGTTCTCGTCAGTCTTGTGGAGATTCGGTGGATCGTGAGTATTTTCGTCCTGGGGAGATATGTCCTTGGGAGAACCAGCACCGTTCGCGTTGCAAGTCGATTCGTTTTCCTTTATCTTTTGCCTCTCATGTTGGAGTTTCTTGTTCTGCAGCATACGATAACTGGCACTCAAAGGCGACTCTGGACTCAAGCCTACATCTTGTTGATTATGTTGTGGATTAGTCTCTTGTGGCAATTCTTTCTCTTCCATTGTTCTGCTCACCTGCTGAGATTTGCTAATCTGGTTCCCATCCTTGCTTGGTTGGCTTGGTTGTGCGTGCGTCTGCGTATTCAAAGGATGTTCTTTAGTTAGCGACTGGCGGCGTTTTTCTCCTATTTGTACTTGCTGTTGTTCTTTGTATTGCAGATCTGGTCCATGTTGCTTATGGCCATTATGCATTTGATACTGGTGGTTCATTTGGTTCTGATTTTGTTGTGCGCGCGTCTGCGTATTCAAAGGATGTTCCTTCGTTTGCGACTGGCGATGTTTTTCTCCTATTTGTACTTGCTGCTGTTCTTTGTATTGCTGGTCTGGTCCATGTTGCTTCTGTCCATTTTGCCGATGCACCTGTGTATGATACTGATACATACGGTTCATTTGGTTCTGTTGCGTGTGCGTCTGCGTATTCAAAGGATGTTCTTTCGCTTGCAACGGCTTTTCTCCTGTCTGTACTTGCTGTTGGTTTGGTCCATGTTGCGTCTGGCCATTTTGCCGGTGCATTTGCATATGATACTGATGCATGTAGTTCACTTGATTTTGTGGTGTGTGAGTCTGCGTGTTCAAAGGATGTTCTTTCGTTTGCAACTGACGGTGTTTTTCTCCTATTTGTGCTTGTTGGCCAATGTATTGCAGGCCAGGTCCATGTTGCTTCTGACCATTATGCACATGATACTGATGAAGCATGTGGTTCATCTGGTTCTGATTTTGTGGTGTGCGTGTCTGCGTATTCAAAGGAAGTTCTTTCGTTTGAGGCTGGCGGTGTTTTTCTCCTATTTGTACCTGCTGTTGGCCTTTGTATTGCTGGTCTGGTCCATGTTGCCGCTGTCCATTTTGCTGGTGTGTTTGCATATGATAGTGTTGCATGTGGCTTCTTTGGTTCTGACCATGGTTTTGTGGCTTGTGCATTTGCATTTGTGACTGGTATTGTTGGTGGTTTTCTTCTCCTTTTACTTGAAATTGAGCGTGGCTTTGCAATCCTGGTCCATTTTGCCGACACGGTTGCCCAGGATGTTGTTGTGTGTGTTGTATCCCCGGTCTAGAAAACTGATGCATCTGTTGTGGAAACCGTGGCTGGTGACGCTGATTCCCCCCTGCTTCGTGTGTCTGGTAGCCAGCATTTCCGAAGTACTGGCTGTAATTCGGGCAGTGTTTTTGTAAGCTAGACCTGGAATCGTGTCCATGTTGAGGACGAGGTGCATGGGCGTGCTGAGGACTCCTCCACTGCGAGGATACAGAGTGACTTGGGTCCAACCCCTGCTGATTTTGATGTTGCGTCAATGGCTGACTTTGCACAGGTGGTGACGTATGGTGTGGCGAGGTAAGATGATTTGTGGAATACCCAGAGGGAGAAACATATCGTGCGGTATTTACAGGTTCTTGCGATCGAACTGGAGGAATCCTTTGTTGCATATAGGGGACCTCAGTGCGCATCGCTGGCTGTGTGTGATTCCTATGATGTACTGGGTGGGTTGGCACTCTTCCATGCGCGTCTGTGGGAAGATCTGGTGCCAACTGTCCTGGCACTGAGGACTGGCTGTCGACGCGAGGACCACATCTTTCCCTCCGAGCCTGATTTAATCCCTGTGATGGTATTTTCCTACGCAGAGTTGACAGTCTTTTAAGCTTTGGCATTGGTGGCAGTGCCTCAGCTTGGCCCGTTGGTAGACAAGGGGCGGGTGCCAT